TGCACATGTGTGAGGACCAAAGTATGAGCAAAATCCGGTCATGGAACTGGAATGTTGATTATTCTTTTACCAGTTTGTCATGATTTCTCACCCCATTATACAATTTCATATAAATTGTGATGTATTAGCCTGTAGAAGAATCACTGCAAACGAGCTTATTCGCTAATCTGTCTTTCTTACATGTGGCAGTGTTTTAACTCGCAATCCACGCACGTCCGCGAGATGTTTTCATGAATTTTCTCTATGGGACCAGCAGTGCTTTCTGTACCACATAGGTTAATCCTCAAGTTTACGAAATCTGGAATCATTACCCACTGGTGGTTATATTGCTCATCTGTTGCATCCTTCTTGTGAAGGATTTTATTCAAGATTTACTGGACTCCTAGAATGACCCTTGCAGATGATATTGTTACTAAATACATTGAATTTCTCTATTGAAAGACGTTCTGCATGTTTTGCATAATTCACTGTGTAGAACCGTGTTTACATCTCACATACTGGCTGGTTTGAAATCTCTATATACCTGTGCTTTCTGCTATAGCAATTTCATTTTCTTCCATAAGTATCACGTCTTAATCTCAAAAGGGTCTTACGAAACACTTGCATAAGGCAGACATTTTATGGACCAATGTAAACCCAATTCACGTTGCTTACTCACTGGCTCTGCATCGCTCAAAGTATTCAGTCTAACTGCAAAGCACGGCCATAAGGTATTTCATGTGTTCTACGATCGCACTGAAATCGATAGCAATCTCGTGTGTGAATCGATAGTCCTGTGTATAGCGAACTGGCACGTGAGCGATCAATCGTTTGAAACCAACTGATTTATCCGTAAAACAATCGCATGAAAGAAGAAAAAGCGATCGCATTGTAAATTAGGCCTTTCGTTAGTTTTCATACTGATCTGTTCGGAAAAGTGAATTGGCAGACCAATCAGGCAGGGGGAGCAGAACTGCTACCAGATTACAATCATGATTTGATCTGAAAGCTTTGCATTTCTCCTCTGGTGGTTAAGAAAACCTTTCGTGTATTGTCTGTGGCACGGGACGATTTGAAATTAAGTGTGAATTTGCATGTACTAATGAAATAATAATAAGAGTAATAATAATAATAATAACGCTTTTTCTTTACCATTTTGTTTTATTGCAGCCGAGTCGTTTTTCCAAGCCCAAACTCAGTACAAAAATGCGATTACAGAGAACCTGAAATCAGAGTAAGTGTAAGCGTAATAAATGCTCGCACACCCCTCNCCCCCCCCCCCCCCCCCCCCCGACTCTGTAACATACACACAGACACACACACACACACCAAGAAGAGGAATGCACTCTAAGTTTGACAAATGTTAATCGATCCTTCAACGCTGGAATATATTCACTCGTAAAGTATAAAAATCTCCTTAAACTCCCAATGGGCGAATGAAACTAACCGGCACGCATGCATACTTAAATCTCTCTTTTATTTCGTTTGAAACTGGATCTGAACAACCTCGCTCACGTGATCCACGTTACATCACACAGCCTTCGTTTGAAAGGCAGAGACCGTTCACTATCATCTCCATCCCAGCACTTAACTTCAGTTTCTGGTACTTGGGTACATTGATCGATTTAGATAGACGGATAAATGGAAATGCTGGGCGTGTAAGTGATACTATTGAAAGTCCACAGCAAATCTAGGAAAACAGTTCATGTCCATCTAGTGTGCCGGTGTGTGTGAACAGCTTGCTTCTGACGACCATCATCGTCAAACAGTTCTCATCTGTGCGCAAAAAGGATTTAACCCGTAGGCTCGTCTAATCGAGACGTCACATTTCTTATTCTGACACCTTAGTTAAATTGAAAACCACCCAGGACATCCTTCCACTCGGCCGTAACAGAGCGCTACTATCTATCCAAACGAGTTGCCCTCCTGTANAAGGTGACGTCTGGCCATTTCCAGTGTGAGCAGCTGGTTGACTTAGTGGAAATTCACCTATGAGAGTGACAGAGGATTTCACTGAATTTCGAAATAGTCAGGTTGTGGAAGTTTCCATCCGAGCCATAACCCGTGGGAGGCTAGTGCTGAGATGTGCGAGGTGCAATGCCCGCAGCAAGTTCACAAAGATGGATTGTGCTACACCGTGTAAAGACCGGATGAAAAACGGTGTGATCAGCTGCTCGGTGGCCGAGTGGATAGCATGCTTGAGTTCTACCTGTAAGATCCTGCGTTCGGGCCCGATTTGGGTCGATGGATTCACACTGTTAATGAGACCCAACCAGGTCGAAACAGCTGTCCAGCGCTTCCAAGCTTTTCATTTCGCGCTTCATTTGCTCTATGGACGACGAATTCCGAATTGATACTACTCAAGGAACCGGTGGATATATATATATATTACTGGTGACTCACAGCATGGCGAAAACTGAGCGTACAAATTATCGGATTGAATATATTAAATTCGTTTCTTTTTGTTCCAACCTAGATCTGCTGCTGAGCAGCTATTGCCTTGGTCTCGTGTAGTGCTGTAGTGCTGCATTCGAGTTCACTGGAAAAATATTATATCATCATAGATCATATTATTCACACACGCGCACATACACGTATATATATACAAACCATTCCACCACTTTCCTGTCAATCACAAATTATAAATCGATAACCCAGGCCTTGTTAAACTTCATGTTCGATACATGGTGTGTACGAATCTGTTGTGGGACTAAATAGCGTAGACTATCATCGATCACACACGTACTACAACAAGTTTGAGCTCATGTGTTTGTCTTCCGCTATCATGTATTTTTCAAAGAATTTTCCGCCTTCTTGTGGATCTCGGTTCTCGAACAAACGATCCGGAGATTAGGAACCAATTGCTCGGTCGGTTAGCTGGCATGCTGACTGCCCTTCTCCTTCCCGCACAGGCTTCGCGATTATGGGACATACGACGATGGCAGAATCCGCATAGCCCATGTCGCAGTGGAGTACTTGCCACGGCGATCCAATCCCAGAATGAATACACTGTGGAACTGCTCTTGAAGAGCGGTGTTGTTGGCATTGTCGTACCACATGTAAGTACTGATTAATCACATTTTACCCGATAAACTAATGTTCTAACATCGATGGACAACTACCATCTGAACTTTATGTTTTCTCTAAACACTAAGTGACGTAATTCATCCTCCGAGTGTCCTCCATGCACTCAGATTCCTTGCAATATTCTCGTGAAACACAGCAGAAACAACATTATTACAGGATGTGCTGAACTCAACTGTCCAAGGTAATCAGATCCACTGAGTACACATATTTAGATCACGTGAAATTGAAAGAATGACGTAATCTCGAAAGCATGGACACATTTGATGTGATTAACATCACAGATAGTTGAACTCAACACACCGTGTGATTATTGAACTAGTCTCGCCGAGTACATCTCAAACAAAACAACAGAGTGGCGAACAAGCTTTTTTCAGTTGTTCGTATTCATATCAATATATCACAATATAAACATCACTGCTCGGGAGTAAAAATTGTCTTGGGTGGATCGAACAATGCTCTCGATGGAGGTTAGTTCATTGTTCAGAAATGTTCCCATCAGTAAAGCTATTGGAGATCTATGCAGTTATGTACAAAATAATAGTATAGAGCCTAACCTCCATTTGGATGACCTAGAATAACTGCTTTATTTCTGCGCGTATGATGTTAAGTTCACGTTTAACGATGAGATCAATGGATAAAAGGATGGCTTGGCCACGGGGTCTCCGCTGAGATCCTTTTTCGCGGACTTATTCATGGCTAAAATTAANAATCAGCCATTGAAGACGGTGTACTATGCACGCGGTACGTAGATTGTCTTTTGTGTGATCAACTCAACGTCGAATACAACGGAGCTGTTAAGCAAGTTCAACATTGCGCTTCCTTGCATCCGATTTAACTTAGAAATGGAATTGCCATTTCTAGATATCTGCATCACCCGTCGATCTGATGGTTCGGTACAGCGTGCAGTGCAGAGAAAGGCAACTTGGAAAGACCAGTTCATCTATTTCCGAAGCTTTCTGTCGCTTAAGGTAAAAAGTAACGTGGTTCGTTGCCTGGAGGATAGAGCAAGAATGGTCTACAGTGAGGACACACTAGAAGAGCTACGTCTTAGAAGATCGATCTTTGCACGTAACGGGTATCAGGAACGTTTAGATAACAAAACGATTCTGTGCACGGAAAACACTTTCCAAAATACAGAAGTTAATGAAAAGAACGTGTACATTTAATGGCCGTTCAAGAGGAAAGAAGGTTGCGATCATCCCAAGAAGACTATCCGATGCAGTCGATAATAATTTCTATGCATCCAGCTTTCTTGTGTTGTTCACGTCTCTTAGCCAGGTGTGCGTTTACGATTGAATAACAAAGTGTCCTACTCTGCGGTCTCATTCTGTGTATATGTAGTGCTTGAAGTAGGCACAGCGCACGAATCACGAATGACGGACGCAACTAAAACGCTGAATCGCACTAGCACTTGCAAGCTGGTATGGCCCGTCACTGAGATGCAAAAAAGGCCGTAAAAGTAGCAGTTTGTTTATTGAAAGAAATCTGGGGAATAAGTAACATGTATAAAGTAAGTTTAAAAATTGTACACGTGTCCACTAATGGCCTGCTTGCATTCTGGATGTCATACAGCTTCTGGATGGATGGCACGACTGATTGGTCGGCACGATTGACCGGCGGTTCTTTGTCCAGAAACTGTCGCACGTCGCTCCGTGGCTGGCGTTATCCTTTAGGCTAGGATCACCACTGTGTACTCATTTACTTGTTCCTGTAGAACAACGTAAATAGGCTTCACGATCAAGCGATTTTCCAAATGGATTTGTGAACACCACCCTGTGTGGTTGAGCACCAGAACGATTAAGTCATTCCCCAATGCAGTGGTTTCATCCCTAGATTAAACAAATCACAGTGTGAACAAGACTCAGTCTTTCTGCACCCTGTTTAAAATTTGCTGCGAGATGCTGGCCACAGAAGAAGCAGTGGGCAATCGTCTACACCCCCTGCTCTGGGCGCCCCAAAACAATAGATGTAATCGCCAAAGCTTCCCTGACTTACGCCACACACACACCGCATCACGAGTAAACTCGATGAGTGGATGAGTGGACAAACATCCTGAGTTCATAACACTCCCTCGTACTTTCACGATTTGGTGGCTTTGATGGAAATATGATGATTTGTTTTCAATCGACGCACATGGAATATTTTGACCGAAGCAAAATTCTGTTACCTAATGGAAACAGCGTTCACATTTTTGGAGTGGTAAATCTATTTATTTCGAGGAGAAATAACCCCAACTGGCATTGTTCATCTTTCTGTTGCAGCGATATACAGTGAAGCTATTTGCACTGATTGATACCAAGCTGAAGGTGAAGTTTTGGTATTCGTTTGTTTTTGATGGAAGGGAATTTCCAGGGAATGCAGCCACCGAGCAATAGCACGGTTACGGATCTTAGCCAGAACATAAAGTTGTGAAGAGAATCTTACCGCAGGGGGAAATGAAAACTTATTTGAAGCATTTCTGCTAGACTTACCGGCCGCATTGCAGTAGAACCGTCAATTCAAATGACCAGAAAACTGTTTTCTATCCGCCTTGTATCCGTTTACCCGACAAACCTGTTTGAATCTTCCGCCTCGCTAAGGCAGCAGATAAGCATGAGTCATCATATGACACCAATGTGCATTCACTCGTTAACATGATAGTATTAAAGGTTTTGACCAAATTATTTAGTAGATTTCGTCGTCTGTATAACGTAAAATGCAAAGTTAGGATACACTCACTGTACAGCTGTTTTGAACAAAATGTATCTCGTTATTAGCGAGAACTCTCCAACCAAACTGGAGGTCGAATACGGGATCACAAATGTAGAGCGCATGCCTGCTATCCATTGGGGCATCGGGCAGCTGCTGTTCAGATATGTGATAATCGAAATAAGCTCGTAAATATGAGTTATGCTATATCGTGTAAAAACCAGGTAAAAAAAAACGGTCTGATCAGTGGCCCAGTGATCAACTGCCTAGTACGTGCACGTTTTATCTGTCAGGTTCCTGGTTCGATCCCCAGTTGGGTGGATGAATTCACATTACTGATGAGACTCATTTAGTTGGAAACAGCTGTTCGGGGTTTCCTAGCTTTTCAGTTCACGCATCAGTTCAATGAAGAGATCCAATATACAAGTGAATCGAATTCTCCCCCACACCCAAGTAACAAGTAGTTAGTTTGGAATGTTTCCAACCGAGTCACAACCCTGGTGCTGAACTGAGCGAAATACGACGATTTACTCATTTTTTTCACCTAGTGAAATAGACTTCGGTCGATCTGTGTTTGCAAATGTCCGCTATGGATTGCATGACGTTTGCTTACTTCGTATTTCGCTAGGATCACATGATTTGTACCTGTTTGTAACTATTTGAACAATAAGCATAAAATTACCTAATCACTTCATGAAGCGGGTCATATGGGAATTCAGTTGCGTTCGAGGAAAGGGTATACAAGCGTAAAGATAATGTTGGACGAATGACTAATGACTGGACAGGACCTGATCGATTTCATGAGAGATAACTTTCAATACTGAAATATAATTCCATTTATGCTGTCTTACGTCAAAAATTAACGGTGATGAATGAAAAGCTTGAATTTTGAACTTTATCTCTCATTGCAATGTTCTAAATTCTTTTTTGTAATACTATTTGTAATTGCACTACCTGGACTATTCGAAAGAAATTTAAAGCAGTTCGAAAGTTATACCTGAAAATAAAAAAGTATTTTTTTAAGAGAGCACAAAATTGTATTGTATAGTAATTGGCTATGACTGTTAATATTGATCATTACTTGTGCATTTGTACATTTTAAACATCAATTGCCATCCCTAACGGCCCTAGTCGATATCTCCATTGCAATTCATTGCACTTTCACCGATATAGTCTGTAAAAGAAAATTATAAATGATCACCATGAACTGTGCGGTAGCTGGAACGAA